TAAAGCAAGGCTTTGTTTCTGCAAACAGTTCAGCCACAACCAAAAAGAAAGCCAACAAATTAACTGCACTGACAAAATGCTGTCTTTTGCTTTTCTGCTATAGGATCTGGGAAGGTTCATCCATCAGAGAGTGACAGGAATGAGTGGTGTGTGACAGTAGTCAATGATACATCAACAGAATGGGCTGGAATCCCTGGTTAGACTTCTATCAGCATGGGATCTTTGGGCAGGTTTCCCTGCTGTGCGTGACTTTCCTCTCTGCATAACTGGCAGAGCTGTCACAGAGCAGCTTTGAAGATTAAATGAGAAAACACATATAAATTGCTTAGTTCCATGTCCGATACAAAGTAGATACAAATTCCTATAATAAAACTACAAGAGAAACATGGACATCAAAAGGACTTCCCTGACAAGCGAGGGTGATAGAGAAAGCCAGGCGCTCTGAGTTGAAAGGCAGGTGGCTGCCTTGAAGGCGTGTATTCTGGGTCCTGAGCAGCTGAGGTTTTTGCTCCCAATCCCAACTGCATCTTCCTGCAGGGTCATTTTCAATTTATTTGATGTCATAAATTACCCCATACTATAGCAATAGCACCAATAAAAGTGATGGTTGATGCTAATGTCTTATGAATGCCTCATCAGGAACTTAAGAAAATTAGTCTGAAACTGCTCACCACATCCAAAATCAAAAGGACTAATTTCTCAGTCAATTAGGTATGAAGAGTGAACCATAAGCCAAGGCTGAAGATGCTGATGGTGTGCGTCTGAGGATGGAGGCCTGCTTTACCCACTCAGATTTCAGAAGGTGAAGACAGAAAGGAGACTGCATAAAAAGATAGAAACATCGGGCCCTCCCTGGTGGCGCAATGGGTTAAAGCACAGCACAATGAAGCTATCTGCAGTCACTGCTGCACGAGTTCAATCCAAGGCCAGGGAGGTGACCCACATGGCGCGCTAGACCTCTCCTGACCCACCCGCTGCTCTCCTCAGTAGTGTATTTCAGTCAATCTGTCTGTTCTGCTCCCCATTCTGTCTCTGGTGAATCTTCTCACCCACCTGCATCTCTGGCCTATACCCCAGTTCTTGTATGCATAAATAACAAATCTTAAAAAAAAAAAAAGATAGAGACATCAATCAACTCTTGCAGTGACTCAGACTCACCGACAGGATCTGTGTGTTTGAGAACAGCCTCTTGATTCCAGGCTCAGCAGTGTAATTATACTAAGCACTAAGTTTTGTGGGGGAGAGCTCTGCTTAAAAGGGCCCAGGAGATCTATGTGTAAAATCAGTAACAACCATTGTTTCTTAGGGTTCACGGTGTGCTTTAGGCACAGTACATCTAATTTATCTTCTCAATGATGTTATAAAAAAGGTATATTAATTATGCCAATTTCTAGTTGCAGAAATGGGGTTTGTGAGATGCAGGGAGTAGGTATGGATGGAGGCCTTGCTCTTTATCATATCTGTTTTCAGTTCATGCCATAGTCTTTGCACAAATATCTACATTCATCATCTCCCTTAGATATTCATCACCTCTCTTGTAGGCTCATTTCCTGAAAGTAGAATAATGTGCAAGTGTATGGGCTCCTGACAGAGGTGAACTGTGCTCCTGATAGAGGTGAAATGGGCTCCTTACAGAAGTGAAACAAGCACCCTATATGTGAGGTTTAAAATTTCAGAGCAATGAAAATGGCTTGGGGTCCTTCCTTCCCTTTTTTCTCTCCCCTCCTCCCTTGGACTACAATTCCCAGCATGCCATGTTGAAGGGGGGTAAACTAGGAGGGAGGTGGACATATACAGTGAGGTAGGCCAAGTAAGAGAGCTATTTGGAGGAGAGATTTAGAGGGAAGACCCGTGGATGAGAGACACGTGGAAAGCTGCTCCTGAGACTTCTGCATTTTGGCAGCAGTGACGGCCCCCATTATCTTAACTTCCGGGTGAATTATAGTCTGTGTTTTGAAGTTTGGGCTTTTCCTTCTGTCCCAGCTTTCTGGGACACATGTAACCCTTTTCCTATGGCTCCCTGCTAGAAGGTGCCTTAAGACTTGTGGCCAGCTTTTGGCCTCACCTGCCCTGCTAGGTCATGCCTGTTTGGTTGGTATTTGCCCACGATGGGATTGGTAAGCTTTGGATTTTGGTTAGGAATTGGTTATTTGAAATACTTTCTCTCCCCCTCCGCTCTGCCTTTTAAGCTTTCAACCAACGAAAGATCTTTCACACGAGGAGTCTGTTATCTTAGGTTTTGGGCACGCAGTTGGCTGAATCCTTTTAGAACATGTATCTCTTTACAATTTGGGGGTTCTGGGTGTCCTTGGTCACACAGTTGCAGATTTTTTTCTTTCTTTCCTTTCATCCTTGCTCAAAATATGATTATTTTCCACAAGGAGACACAGACTTAGTGTGGTGATTAGTTGTATAAATGGAGCTGTAGCTCAAGAAGGACTGACAAGCTTATGAATCATTTCTCCATCTGGGAAGAGCATGATACTTTCAGCTTCCATGAATAGCTCTAACTTATGGCTGGGTAAAACTCAGGTCATCCTTATGGGGACTTTAGGGTAGTTTTCACGATTGGTATTAAAATCAGTTTTTAAATGGTACACATGTAAAACCATCATAAGTCACGATTTTAAATGCTTTCGTATGAGTAACATAATTTGTAGTGTGTATACATGACTACACCTCAAACAAACTGCACTTATAACTGACTTTAGAAAAGGATGTATCACAAGATTAGCTTTGGAATGGATACTCTCCTTTATAGTTAAATCATAGTTTACATGTGCTTATTTTTAACAAATCCACCTATTATATACATACATACATACATACATATGTACATATATATATATAACAAACTTTGTTCCTAATTAAATTTGAGAATAAAATACCAAAGTGGCAAAATGTGTAGCAACAGAAGCTTCTGGGAAATGTGTTCAGAATATGCACTAGCAGTGACGGTGTCTGAGAACAGGGAAACAGGGTGCAGTAAAACTCGGGTCAGGGGCCCGGGCGCTCCATTTATTTACTGACTGAAAGACAGGCATGGGAGGCGGGGCCTCTGAGTACATGGGGAGGTTGTGCACCCCACGGCCCCCAATATGACCCCCTTGGCAGCCAGTTCTGAAGGCATGGAATAAATAGAATAAACGGAAGCAGTCTTCATAGGACACAGGGTTCCAGACGTCACCTTGAGCCCCATATTTTTAGAACAGTAGTTCCAGTGTGCACCCCCCTTAATCTCAGTAACCACAAATAAGAACAGGCTAGTGACACAGCCACTTTGCTTCATAAGGAACAAATGGAGAGGCTAAGTGGCCCAATGTGCATGAAACTTGAGTAGCATCTCGAATGGGCCTGGAGCTCCAAGCCATGTCATCTTTCTACTCACTCTCCAGAGGCGCACCCAAAGCACTGGCTTTTCTCCCACTAGACCATGCTTGGATTTGGGGTCGGGGGCAGCAGCAGGCTCTTTCATGCGTAAGCCTTCTTGTTCTGAACATTTACTCTGTACTATAGTACCACTGTTTTTAGCATGGCACTAGATATGTGTGATTTATTGGTTAGAAGTAAAGTTTCATTTTCAGTGTGTATGGGCAAAGTTGAATTGGACAGCCCCTTACATATTGCTCAGTTGAGAACTTTTTATTTTTATCTTAGACATTGACAAAAATGCTCTGATTGAGTGCACTAAGGCATTACATTTCAGCTTGGTTTTTTTGCTATTCAAGTGATATTTCTTTTTTTAAAAAATTAATTATTATTATATTATTTTATAACAGTTTATTTTTACATCATTTTGTACACTTTTTTTTTCCATCTCAATTGTAATCCCCACGGGTTTCCCATCACCATGTCATATTCATTATTATTTTTTACATCATTCTTCATTTTGTGCACTTTTCCATCTTGGTTGTAATCCCCACGGACTTCCCACCACCACTTCACCCATGTGCCATCACCATAGTCCCGTACTCTTTTCTTCCTGTCCCAGTTTTGATCCTGTTCCCCTCTCCACCCCCATAGAATGTCTCTGGTTTATAGTTGTTTGTTAATTGTTGTTTTTACTTTATTGCTTCTCCCCCACCCAACCCCCCAAATCCCAGACACTCTTGCTATGAGTGAAACTGTTTGATATTTTCTTTTTCTTCCTGCTTATTTCACTAAGGCACTTTTATGTAGTCTCATCACTTTTTCTTGAAGCCACCGCCCCTTGGTCCAGGCACTTCTTGACATTTCCTTTGGTTTTTATACATTAATCATTTGCCTTCTTTTCTAGGGGCATGTATGGATGAACTTAGTTTATGAATATTAAAAGCACAAAAACATCAATTTCCATTCTAGAAAACTCCACCAGGGCTGAAATGTTCAACGCTGTTTTACCAAAGCAGTTATAAATCTAACAGTGGAAGAAAGGAGGAAATTAAACACATGTATATGTACTGCTTTTCTTTTGGTTTAGTTTATCACACACCTGTTCTGTGGAGAAATTCAGGAATTTACTTAAATGATAGGTAGTACTTTCTTGCAAAAAGATGGAGAGTGGGTGGATGAGAAGACAGTCTCAAAAGTAAATAAATGGAATTTTTGTTTAGTTAAGTAGATTACTGTGAAAATTTAATCCATATGTAGTAAAATACAGAAAGCAAGCCTCTATTTTTTTTATGTTCATGGGAGGGTGTGAGACACATTTATTTAGTACTAACTTACTACTTTCCAATGATTGTGTTAGGCATATACACATTAACAGACAAAATAGGGATATTCTGTAGATATCCTTATTTCCATTTTACAGATGGAAAACTCAAGAATGAAGAGTGTTAAGTAACTTGCCCCATTCACAAAGCTAGTAAAACTGGAGGTATGATCAGCCTCACATTTTTGTATCATATAGAAACTTGGCAATGACATTTAAAACATGTGTACCTGTAAATCATTTGACAGTACAATTCTCTAGTGCCTTTTAAAAACTGTACATTTTAAAGGAAATCATTTCTACTCACAGCTTATGGTTATTCCCAGCTCCACATTGTGCTTCTTAGGGAGTTTAACATGGAATGTTCCACTACTTGGGATGACAGACTCTGTAATTCAAAACAAGAGTGTGTTTGTAGAAGACCAGGAACAACAATCAATGAAAACCATCGAGAGTACTTGTATGTAGTGCTTTACTGTAAACTGTAGTAACTGAATTTTAGTTACTCTAAAATTCTGATGAACTAGGCTCTTGTGAAGAACAGATGTCCTACTGTGGACATCTGTGTATAACACACAGCAATCTTTCACTGAAGTATTTTTGATGTGTGATTCTTGCAACATTTTCATAAAACTTACCTGGGATGCAAACTAAAAATACAGATTCCAGCGTCATGCTGGATGTATGGCATTTCTGAACTGGAGGCCTAGAAATCTGCATCTTAAACATGTTCTCCAAGAGAGTCTCTGCCACACTGGAGTTTTAAAAGTGTAGGTCTGGCCGCAGCACTGCAAGCTAGCCACAGTCGCTTCAGTGTGAGGCCAATCCCCTGCCCCGGAGGTGACCCACATGGCGCGGCAGACCTTTCCTGACCCGCCCGCTGCTCCCCTCAGCAGTGTACTTCGTCGATCTGCCTGTTGTGTTCCCCACTCTGCCTCTGGTGAAGCCTTTCACCGCCCCTGCACCTCTGGCTTGTACCTCAGTTCTGTATGAATAAATAAATCTTTAAACAGCAAACTAACAAACAAACTGTAGGTCTGGCAATGTAAGAGACTGTAACTCTTGCCGTTCCAACCTTAATATCTTGAATGAGGTCAGTTGGAAGCGAGGAGTAGCTGGAGCCTGGGGTACACATAAAAGACAGAGCTGGAGGCCATTCAGAGGGGGTCTTTGTTCCTGTGGGGCTTCCAGTGTCTTAATTCTGCTTTGGTAAAACTGCCTGTCCCACTCTCTTGAAGATTATGGAGGCAGCCAGCTTGACCTTGTGGTAGATAGCGCTTGGGCAGCACATTTAGAATTTTGGTTTTCTTTTTCCTTTCCAGCCTTCGGGCTCTGCTCAACTCTTGTGTTTTCTGATGAGAAGGGACCCCACTGATTTGTTCTCCTGGTGGTTCTGCATTTGACCTTGGCTGCTTTCCTCTGGATCCTGCCTGGTTGGTGGAAAGCTTGCCTGCAAGGGGATGATGAATTTTGAAGTTTGACTGGGAGTGGCTACTTTGAAATCCTTCTCTCCTTATGTCCTCTTTTTTTTTTTTTTTTTTTAAAGATTTATTTATTCATACAGAACTGGGGTACAGGCCAGAGATGCGGAGGGTGAGAGGATTCACCAGGGACAGAGCGGGGAGCAGAACAGGCAGATCAATTTAGTACACTGCTGAGGGGAGCAGCGGGCGGGTCAGGAGAGGTCTGCCACACCATGTGGATTTCCTCCGGGGCAGGCGGGGATCAAACTCATGTGGAAATGGCTTATACTTCCCAGTTCAGTGCCTTAACCCGCTGCGCCACCAGGGAGGGCCAGTGTCCTCTCTTTTTTAACCTCTCTTGGATTAAAAATTGGGGGACACACATGGATGGCCACAAGCTCTTAGATTGGCCAACATGGATATTTTTGTTTCAATTTGGGGTCTTTGGGTATTCTTTAGTTTTGTGCCATATCAGTTTTATTTCTTTTTATTTCCCCCAACCATTGTTTTTCATTTTTACTACTCAGTAATTTATTTATTTACTTTTAAACCTTTATTTAAAGACATCCAGGAGAGTAGATTTCACAAGAAATTTCAGTTTGGTGTGATGGCTGCTGATTGGGGGGCCAAGGAGGATAAGAGATGCCTTTACTAGGAAACATTGACAAGTTCATTCAAAGAAATAGGAACAGGAGCTGTTTCACAATCAAACGTTACTGGCCATAAGTGATCAGAATAGATGCCGACCTATGAGTCAGAACACAGGGATCCAGGAGACCCAAGCACACCAAGAAATACCTTTTAGTTTCTGGATCTTGGGGAGCTCTTGGACATTCCAGGGAGAAGCAAGGGGGTGGGAGTAGCTGGAATCTAGTGAAGATACTAGTCAACCAGTACAGAAACATGCAGTATGGTAGAAACAGAGAGGAAATCAATATGCATTAGTCTAATCTCAACCCTGAACAGAACTAGTGATAGTCATCACACAAGAGCCTGACTAGTATTTGAGGAAGGGAGGAATAGTCTTAAATATAAAATTCCTTTAACAATCCAGGAGTCCTTCAATTAAAGATAAGGTTAAAATGAAAATATCCTCTGAAGAGATAACATCTATTCACTCTGAGCTGCTAATGACTATAATCCTTTCTCAAACGTTTTGGGAAGGTACAGGAAGGGGAGGCAAGGATCAATGGAAAACATTAGCATAAAGGATTGTGGGGTAGCCCAGTTAGCCCACTTTTACTGCTTGAGTTTGCTCAAGGTTAGTTCCTGAAGCTGCACACAAAGAATTAACTATAGAGGCTGTGACATGGGTTGATTTATCAGGTCCTCAGGCACTGAGTCCAATTTATAATCACACACCTAGCACATTCTGGGTCTTTGCAAAGCAGGGTTGAAGGCTGGGATTGGCCTCCTGGAATTAGGGCTCAAGTACACCCTTCTTTGTTTTGCTTAACTTACTCTTCCTGGTCTTTTGTACTTTCCCATCAGGAATTTAGGCAATAAACAAATGATTCTTTAAAAGATTTACTTATTTATGCACATAGGGCTGGGGTACAGGCCAGAGGTGTAGGGGCGGTGAGAAGATTCACCAGAGACAGAGTGGGGAGCATAACAGGCTGACTGACAAAACACACTGCCAAGGGGAGCAGCGGGCGGGTCAGGAGAGGTCTGCCGCACCATGGGGCTAGGAGCAGGGATTGAACTCATGCTGAGTGGCTTTAGCTTCTTAGTGCTGTGCTTTAACCTGCTGCGCCACCAAGAAGGGCCCAGTAAACAAATTTTACAAGCCAGAATTTGATCTTCCAACACAGAAGATTCACCATAGACTGTGAAACTAGACAGCACATTTGAAAAAGTATTTCCGTAGGTCCTCCAAAATTTAATAAAGCCACCCTTGAAAAAGGATCCTCAAATAGATCTGCCTCAGCTGATACTATGTATACAGACAAATCTTTCCACCTGGCCCTGCCTTTCATATCATTCTCAACTTAGGAGAGCAAAAGGAATCTTTAGACTTCTCCAGCTTCCTCTCACTCTTGACTCACCTGTTTTGTCAGGTGGCAGGTTTGAGTGTCAAAGATTATGAATTGATAACTTTGGCTTCACTGTTGTGTTACCTAACACTCTGAAGTGTTAGGTAACACTTCAGAGTGAACCAATATTACTTACTGGTTTATTTATTCTTTTTTTTTTAAGATTTATTTACTTATGTATACAGAGCTGGGGTACAGGCCAGAGGTGCAGGGGCAGTGAGAGGATTCACCAGAGACACAGTGGGGAACAAACAGTACAGGCAGGCAGACAAAGTACACTGCTGAGGGGAGCAGTGGGCAGGCCAGGAGGTCTGCCGCACCATGTGGGTCACCTCCGGAGCTGGAGATCAAAGTCACGCTGAAGTGGCTCCAGCCCCGTAGTGCTGTGCTTTAACAGGCTGCACCACCAGGGAGGGTGCAGAATTTTTATTCTTCCCATTTCCCAACAGAATTTGAGATAACAGTATTTTATTCCAATATATTTTATTTATTAAAAAAATTAAAATATATTCATTAGATTATCCTTCATGTATGATTTCCTGTGAAATTCCCACCACCAGTTCCCCCGTGCACCATCACCATAGTGCCTTGTGCTCTTCACATTGCTGTCCTGATCCTTCTCCCTCTCCCTCCCCTACAGACTGACTCTGATCTATAGATGCCTGATGCTTTTGATTTTTACTTTATTATAGCTACTTTTTTTTCTATTTTTTTTCCCCTACATCACTCCTATAAGTGAAACCATTTGATATTTTTCTTTTTCTTTTTGGCTTATTTTGCTGAGCATAAACATGGATGGAGCTGGAAGGGATTGTATTCCAATAGATTTGAAAAAGACTGGCTAATTTGGTCTACTGGGGTAGAAAATGAAAAAAAAAATCAGAAAAAATAATAGTTTGTAGGTGTGATTTATGATATTATTTCCAGTGATGCAAGAAATATTTACTTCCAGAATTATTTCTCAAACCCATGCTTCACCTTTTTTTTTGACTACTCCACAGTCTCTAGTCCCCTTGTGGGAGATTAGCTACCACCTTCTTCTCACCCCCTAAGTAATAGTTTGAAAATCTGGAATTAGCAGCAGACTGGAGACAGATAAAGTATTTGGAAGAGACCAAGTTTTACCTGTGCACTAACAGTCTACAGAGAGGAAGAAAGAAACAACAGTCTGTAAGGAGAGAACACAAGGTCCTGGAGAGCACCTGGCTTTGGTCTTGCCGACTCTTGTTATGAGTTCTAGTCCTAGCGATCCCTACATTCCTAGTCTTGAAGGGCTGTGAAAAACCTTAAGGGCTATGCACTTCCTTCCAGTAAATGCCTATTTTCTGTCTAAACTAGTTTGAGTGCATTTCTGTTGCTTGCAACTGAAAGATCTCTGATGAACATAAATTTACTAGAGAAATGGGGTGGTCTAACAGGGTAATCTAGAAAGAAGAGATTCTGTGCTACACTTCAAGTAAGGTGGAGCTGAGTAGTAAGGGGAAACTATAAAGGACTTGGAAGAGAACACTGGAGGAGGCACATGGAGCAGAGAGACATGTGAAGAAGCCACATTTGCTTCTTAGCCTTGGACTTGCACCAGGGACGAGGGGAACATGGAAAGAGATACTCAGAAGAGACATGAGTGAGATACTCCAGGAAGCTGACACAGCAACCTTTATCTTGACTTGTACTTTGTTTCTGCTCTTTTCCTTCCAGACTTGTTGGTCTCTTCTGCCCCATTTCTTTGGTTCCCCATCAGAAGGTACCTTGGACTTGTCGCAAACTATTGGGCCTCAACAGCTCCATTCTGGGCCAACCCTGTTTGGCTGGGAACTTACCCAAAAGGGGATGGATAACTTGGGTCTTTCACTGGGAAACTATATTCTTTCTCTTCTCTTCTTTTTATG